ATGCAGATATCAACACTGATGGCCTAACTATTATGTGGATTTTTTCCCCAAAGTGTACTTTAAAGCAAAGAATGCTTACCTTTAACCATCAATAGATACACACCCAAAATATAAACTGTCCAGTTTAAATAATATATTTGGAAATAATATATTTGGAGAGAGGGACTCCTAAGAATGGTTAGAAGAAACAGAAATAGCAATAGAAAGGAGGAGACATTTAATATGAGGGGTGTCCAAATGTCCCTAAGTTATTGTAACCTATTAAGAAGTTTAGAAAACTAAAAAAGTAGTTGAAAATTCACATATTAAACCATATAGATTTGGTTAAAGAAAAAGGCATTCAGAGATTACTTAAAATAACAAGTTAACAGTGCAAATACCACGTTGCTTTATGAGAATCTTACCATGTGCTTTTCTGCCCCTCAAAAGAAAAAAAAGAATTAAAACACTCTCCAGTTTAACACAAACAAAAGATAAATATTTATGAAGGAAAACAGATTCCACAGCATTCCATGCAGATTTCCAAACAGTCTGATGATTCACAACAGGCGTCCATGATGCCACAGTCCATGTCACAAGGCAGTTACAGTCATCCCCCATTTCGTCTCACAGCAACAGCAGCAGGCTTCTGAGGTGCAGATGCCACACGACGCTTGTCCCAGGACAATATTGCAGAGGGTCAGGAATTCACAGAACAAGCATGCCAGGATACAGTGGACACAGCAATCTTCAGGTGAAGAGCCTGTCTTTTGGGAAAAGACAGCATTTACTTTGCTCTTTTTACTGATATCGTTGTTTACAGACAAGCTGGACTGAATTTTTCTATGCATTTTTTGAGAACAGGTGCTGAAATTTGCGATTATCTGTGGATACGTGTTTGGCCCCGTGGTGAATCCATTTCCATTGCTCAGACTTGTGTGGCCGTTCTTTATCTTGCTTATTTCCTCCTCGCTGGTTCCTGTGCTGAAGTTTGAAGCAGAGGCAAACGCTGAGGTTGGGTTCTGATAAGTTCACCATCAAGAGGATTTCCCAAATGGACTGGTCTTGTATCCTCCATGTGTGAAGTGGCTATTGGTAGCTTGAGTTATATCTTTTTCAGTATTGTCTTTATCACATTTTCCCTGGGCCGGGGCGCCGAGCCGGCCGCCGCCCGCTCCGGCCGCGCGCTGCGGCCCGGGGCCCGGGAGCGCGGCTTCGCCCGCCCGGACATGGCCGTCCGCCGAGCCGCGCCGCGCCGCCGAGCCCGCCGCCCCGCGGGGCGCACGGAGGAAGGGCTGTTAGGTGTTGGGTGCAGGGAACTGACTGCTTCTCGGCATCCCCCCAGTCGCTCACAGCCCCTTCCTCCTCCTCCTCTTCCGCCCGGGAAGTTAGCGAGGCTCGGGCAGCGGCCGCATGTCGCCCAGGTGGCCTGACGACGGCGGCGGCCGCCCCTGCGCGTCCCTCCCCCTGTTACGGTGTTTTTGATTTAAGCAATTCCCTTTACTTTTGTAGTTTCCATCTTTCTGCTTGCATTACCCATCTATTCTTGCATTTTGTCTGAAATGCACATTAAACCCATAATGTGCCCACTGTACACCCACAATAATGGTTAAAAATTAAACAATACATCCAAAATGTTGCCAGGGTTGTTGAACAATTGACATTTTATACATTTCTGGTGGAATAACTTTTTAAAAAAGTATTTGACAGTATCAAAGCTGAAATTATGAACACTCTACAATCTAGCAATTTCACTCCTAAGCACATAACTAACAGAAACAAATGTGCATGTTCACCCAAAGATGTGTATATTAATGATTTGAAAAGCATCATTTAATGATTTGAAAAGCCCTAAGATGAAAACAGCCCAAAGGTTCATCAATAGTAGAGTGAATAAAACTTTTCTGAGTACCCTTATGAACCACTGACACATACTATGATATGAATAAATCTCAAAAACAGGCTGAGCGAAAGAGACACAAAAGAGTATGTGCTGTATTATTTCATTTATAGAAATTTATAGAAAGGATAATTTATTCTATTGTTAATATAATAAGAATTCAGAGTAAGGTTACCTCTTGGGAAGGGATGAATGGGATGTAGAATCAGAAATGTCCAGAGAGAACTTGCTAGGGTCCTGGATGTGTTCTATATCTTTATCTGAATAGGGGTTACACAGGCATATGTCCATATATGGAAATTCATTTAGCTTTACACTTAAAATTATTGCTCCTTATGCATTTCTATACATGTTATATCTTAATAAAAATGTTAAGCTCCTGAAGTAATTCTTATATTTCATCTCTTCTTACTCCTTTTTTTTTAAGCCTCTGCTTTAAACCATGAAACTCAATACTATCCTTGGATTCCCAACAGAAATATGTCTCCTTGGGGCCATATTGTCCTTGTGTCTTCCCTGTTCTATTGATGATCCTCTTTTTTCTCTTTTGCTTAGGTCAGTCTTATAGAATATTACAGTCACTATGTTCCAAGTCTTAACTGTCAGCTCTTAGGATATTCTATTTCTCCCCTTTTGCCTGTTCCATGATTTAGGATTGTCCATGTTGTAAAGGTCCAAGGGCTCAGGAATACTTACTGAGGATTGATTATTTAAGTGTCTTTCAGATAAAAAAAAAATAGGCAATCATAGTGAGCTATTAGTAATCCTAATGCAATACTGGCTCCATTCCAATGACTTGCTTTTGGAGATAAACAGCCTAGATCAAACAAATAATAAAGAGATTCTTTCTGGGGCTTTCTGGGGCACTGAATAATTTCTAATACATCTCTAAATTGTCATTCACAGCTATTATAAGGTTACCTTTAAGCTAATTCTCCTTTTCCCTCTTTTCTCATCCTTCCTCCATCCTTATGTTCTTATTTCTTCACATTATATTATGCATTTAAAATAATTATACTATAATATTCCTCATTCATCTTCATAAAGCCTGTTAAAATTTATCCTTGGGCCTCTCATTACTGACATTTTAAACATTGAACTATTTAAAGTATATAATACTTATAAGTTAAATTATTATACCACATTATTACCTGGATATCTAAGAAACTGAGTACAAACTGAAAATCTCACACTTTCCAGAAAGATAAATCATAAGCATATTTATAATCCCTATGCTGATACATGATCTGCTCATCACAACACAGACCACAGTACTGTTTCAATTAATGACTAGACATGTTTAGCATTACAAACATTTTTCTAAATAAAAATCCACAGAAAATGCCTAAATCTACAGTGATGATATCTAGACATTCCTCAATAAGTTTTGTTGCAGTATGAAAGCAAATGTGTAGATTTTCATTCTAAATTAATTAGACACTTCATGGCTGCATGCTCAGCTTTACACTTCATGATAACTATACCCAATTCACCACAGAGGATATAAAATTCTGCAATAATAATGAAATTCATCCATAAATATTTTCTTCACCCAAACTGATAATACGATGCAAATAAAGTCCTAAAGCATGCAAGGTTACCAATCAGAATTATAATACTATATACCACATTTATATTTTAAAATGTATAATTACTTCCAAGTTAAAAGTATAACCATTCAGAAGTTATAGGTAAAGAGTCCTCAGCATTTACTCAATTTTAAGGAAACTGGAGGCTGAGACCGTAGAACTAGGAAAGATAAAGGAAAGATGGGTTAGGTTGGGAAAATTAAAAGAGTTACTTATTCTAAACTTATGATTTAAACAGTAATCTTTGAGCCTGATAAAGTTTTTGTTAATCACTCTCTCTCTCCCCTGAGTCATTCTGATCCCTGAGGCACACAGCCAGTTTTATTCTGTAGGAAGGTTATTGCTTCTCCCAGTTCTAGAGGATAGGGATATCTTGAGAGTTGGTATTTGGGCCTGGTGAGGAAGCAGAAAGGACCTGCCAAGGGCTAGGAAAAAAATCATTTTCTGCTATGCTATGAGTGTCATTCAAAGCCCTAACAATTATCCAACTATTTGAGTCAAACATTTCTTTTGAGCAGATATCCATAGTGTCTTCATTATCTATCTATCTATCTATCTATCTATCTATCTATCTATCTATCTATCTATCTATCATCTATCTATCAAACTATTAATGCTGTGCTCTGTTAGGCAACAGGATACAAATACAAAAGCTAAAGACAGATTCTGCCTATAAGGACCTTTTGTCATGAGAGCAACATATGATAATGAACATAATATACTTTAAAACCACTATACATATATAATACTGTTTTCTTATTTGTTCATCAGATTAAAGTAGATTTGAAAGGCTTCTGGAATTGCTCCTGTGAAAATCATTTGGGGGTTGGTTTTAGTAAATTTTACCTGATATTATCCAAAAGGGACATTGCAGTAGAAGAAGTTTCTGGCTGAAGTTTGTCAGAAATGCTGCCAAAGTATTAAATCAGCCAAGGTTTCTTTGGTGCCCTTCCAACCTCCCTGACTACTGACTCTCAAATCTTCAATGCCTTCAGACTGTCCCAAGCTTTATAAGCCCTCCTTCTATAGCATTGCACCCACATCTTCCTTATTTGGGCAGCTCCTGCTTGGAGTTTTTCTATTTAGTCTTTTACCATTCATATGTATTTATACTCTTTTTCAGAAGGCCTTAGAATTTGAGAGACTAATTATCTGGAGATAAGCACTGATTCAGGATACACTTAATAGAGGGCAGCCATCTTTGTCAATTCCACTATCAATGCATAAAGGATAGGATTTCACTTTCTTGTACCAGATCTTTTAGAACTGTAGCCTACCCATTTGTCTTCTTTACTATCTTTCTCTGAATCAAATTCCACAGAAGCTATCTTTATTTTGCTTTGATTCCAGATTCTATAGATGTTTTGCTCTCTATTATAGGAGCTATAATTTAGAAAGAACCCTAGACTAATTTCTAGTGACAACTCTGACATTAACTTGGACAATGCACTTATCATAGTTAAAAGGAGCCAAGAGTTCATTTTGAATAGTAGTTCCCAATCTTTTTCACATAATAACACAAAACATTCTATTTGTATGATATATTTCACTGGGACATACAGGTAAGGCTGCTTGCAGCCAAAGGGAACAGGCTTAAAGGTTCCAGCTGCCCAAAGCCATGTCTAGTCACCATAGGGACTGAAGGGATCAATATCTTATTGCATACCTGTAGTCAATTTGTGGGAACAAGTATGAGAAAGACAACACACCAATTCAGCTCCAAGATTTCATTTTTATTTTTTTCACAATCGTCTCATATTCAAGATGAGTTTCCTGTATGATGTCTTTTCAAGTATATTTCAATTCTCTGTTTTAATATTTCTAGTGTTGAGAAACTTACTGCCTCTCAAGCAAGGAAGTCTGTTGGTTATACAGTTCTATTTATTATCAAACTAAAATTTGCCTCTCAGAACAGAACACATTACTTCAGGTGCTATTTAAAGCAAATTTAATTAGGATTTTTATAACTTCCTTTGCATACTATGTTTTAATTAATGAAGACTGAAATTTTATTAGCTTTTTTAGTAACTATGTATTGTTGACCCAAGCTTACTGTCAACTATGTCCTCTAAGTCTTTTTTCACATGTCAAACTCTTAAGCCAGGTCTGCTTTATCCTGTGTATCTTAAGGATTTTTCCATTAATCATTATCACATTAAAAAAAGTAGGTCCTTTTCAGCTTTTTTCATGTATATCCAAATCATCAACAAAAATATTGAACAGGCCAAGGACTAAAGCTCTCCCTAAATTTGATACCTTCTATCCTTTTGCTTAGTATTTCTCGACCACTTTTATTTGATTAACAAAACACCTGAAGTTCATCTCCTCATGGAACTTATGATTTAATCAAATAAGCAGAACATTTTGGGTATAGTTATTAAATTAGTCATGAGCCTATATAGTTGTTTTGGCACCTTTCTATTTTTTCATAAATATATAAAACATTGTCAAATGCCTGAATTGTTCAATCCAGATACACTATGTATACAGCATTCATCTTATCTACTAACCCTGTGAAGGAAGTGCAACACATCTGTAAATAGACACGAAAAGGTAAATTGGAAGCATGGTTGTAGCATGCCAATAAGTACACAAAAAGAATTTGTGGAGATATATATATAGTTTATTTGAGAAGAACAGCTCCAAGGGAAGACAGAAGTGTGTCTCTGCATGGAAAGAGAAGAGGAAAATATTAGGGGTCAAGTAATCAGAGGATGTGTGATATATGAAAGTAATTGAGAGTGACCAGGACATAGCTTGAAGATACACCAGAAACTCCAAAATTAAGAAGTAAAGCAATCAATTGAGGCCCACAATGGTGGGAGGGACAAGATTTTAGGTGTCAAGAGACACACTGAAAAGTGGTGGTTCCCAAACTAAAATATTTTCTACAACTTTGGTCATTATGAGCGAGACAAAGGATGTCCAAAAGACTATGAATTAGGCAGTTTGGATAGGTGTAGCTGGCTAGCTGCATA